TACTGTCCACCACTGCATCACAGTCTAAATGACACTTGTTCAGCAGACAGTTATTGCCCCACTTTTGCTCCCTGATAAGTTGTCCAGTGTCATTTCAAAGAGTTATTGTGGTGAGCAGAGCACGGTGGGATTTATTTGCGCTCGTGCCGAATTATGTCCGCATCTCGTGTTTGCTAACAATAATTGTGAACGACAACGAGAATAAATGTCACGCGTCGAATGAAACAGGCAAAACATTCAAAATGGGAAAAAGAATCGTCACTGATAATGTTTCAGAACAAGCACAGAGCAATACGTGTTATGGGAGGAGAAAATAGCATATCACCCCCCTGATAGTAAACATACTCTTCTTTTTTTATTATCATGATTATTTGCTCCCAAATGATAGTGCACATTATGAGACTTTCTTTTTTTTTATCCTATCTTGAAGCACCAGTTCTACTATTGGGCACATATTGCAGCTGTTTCCCAACGTTTCTTGCCATTTGTTTGCTAAAAGTATTTGTTTTCAAGATGAATTGCTGCGCTGGCAGGCGGGATGACAGCCTACACGAAGATGATATTGAATTGATTTCTGAAATGTTGCAGAACGGACTAGTTGATGTGTACCACGAGACATGAATAATAAAAATTCTATTAAAAAGCTCTTGAATGGCTGACACTGGAATATTATTTGTGATGATTAATTTTCTTCAGTCATTATAAAAGGGAGTTGGCATCAGATTGCCTCTGACAAAATTGCTTTTCACTCCCTGGTGAATACCCTCAGTGTGCTTTTTGAGAGAACAAAACCATATTTCTCGGTGCAACATTATGTCAAGATAGTCCCAGGAAAAGACAGTTGCCCATGTATCACCTTATTAGCGCCGTAAAAATCGCTGCTGTTTTAACGGCCGCGGGTCACTTGGTTGTTCTGCATTTATTTTCCCCAAAGAGAACCGTGAGGTTTGCTKAACTTTTCTGTTTCTAAAGCACAACTGCAGTAGTAATTAATGAGAATATAAAATCACCACTAAGTGACTGTCAGCAGTGTGCTCCCCCACCCCCACATAATGAATTTGATTAACTGTATTTTAAAGGCATTTCAGGCTGACAGTTTGTTGCTTCAAAGCTGTCAGTATTTCTAAAGTAAATCATTCTGTACCGCCGCTGCTGTTGTCAAGCTAATTAATTTACTCTGTACATTTGTGCTGAACGAACTCTTTACACTGTTTTGAAGCAAAAATAATTTGCATTCGTAATGATTTTTTTCCTTATTATTTTTAGCACAACAGACTGAAATGATTGCTTCAGTTCTGTGTTTGTTTGTGTTAAACAACAATAACTAACAAGGTGCATTTAAATGATAATTAAGGAGATTTTTTATATTTGCACTGGAACACCCTTTGTACAAGTGAAAATATTTCCAATGTCTCGTCTTTCAGCGAATGTATTAAATGTTGAGATGCTTTAATGGGAGGGTTCCTGCTCTAGACAGCTTTTTGAACCTTCCATTTTTTTAGAAATACCGTTTAATTTTGACCAAACTGAAGAACTAATAGCTCGTGTGAGCTGGGTCAAAACCAAAGTTTATTGCTTCTATTTTAATTTTAGTTCTCAAGAACAGTACGGTATTAAAACTTTACACTGCTGCCAGTTTTACATTAACTGGTTATTCTGGGTGAAATATTGTGATTCCCCTGCAGGAGGCTGCCTCAGGCTGCACCAGAAGTGCTACAGCTAGCTATTGCTGAYACCATTTAAGCTTCTAAACAACTATAGAAATCTGTGTAAATAGTTGTGTAATACAAAAGTGTCAGTAGTGTTAGGGTCAATGAAATAGTGTTTGCATGAATCTATTAATATTTTGRGACTGAGGTTGTTTTAGGCCATCAGTAATCCACTCGATGCGTCTCAAACGAGCATTTATCTCATCAGTTTGATCAGGAATCWTATATTTCTTCAAGGTGATTTTGTTCAAAGAGATATTAAAAAAGATAAGATCTTACTTGCTCATAACATAATGCATTAAGGTCACAGATTTAGATTRCCGTGTTGTAATTTGATGTATTTTTTGTTGTTGTTGCCCACATGTGCAGTTTTATTGACCTTTATTTAAGCAGGCAAATCGCATTGAGATCACAGATCTCTTTTGCAAAGGTGGCCTGGGCCTGAAGGCAACCTATTATGTTTTTGGTCTGTGGGAGAAAACCGGAGTACCCAGAGAAAACCCACGCAAGCATGAGGAGAACAAACTACGCACAGAAAGACCCCGGGTCTAAACCGGGGGGTCGAACCCATGAGGCGTCAGTGCTAACCACTGAGCTGCTGTGCTTGTGCCGTGTCACTTTATTGCAAAACATGAACAATAAGWAAGCAAAGGTTGAGAATGCCCTTTTTCCTTTCTTTCAACCCCCTTTTTTTCCTTTTTATCATCTTTCAGAGCTACTCCAATCAGGGCAGAGGCAGCAGTGGTGGTGGTGGAGGAGGTGGAGGAGGAGGAGGAGGAGGGGCAGGGGACGAAGACTACGAAATACCCCCCATTACACCTCCAAACCACGTCGACCCTTCTCTGCTCCATCTCGCAGAGCATGAGTCAGGTTACCCCTTCCACTCCCTGCCTCACAATGGTTTGCTCAACTCCTACTCCTACCCCGAGCTGCCCGCCCTCATGATGTCCAACATGCTGGGTCAGGACGCTCACCTCCTCTCTGGGCCTATGCACTCTGTAAGTAAAGCATTTTTTTGCCTCTTTTTAGCTTTAGGCCTTTATGCAAATCAAAACATTATGTTACAGCAGGCTGTCAGACGTTGCAGTCACTGGAAATCAACCAACAACTTGGAAGCTTATTTCTGAAGATTTTACATGAAAAGATCAGGATTTCACAGGATTGTAATATTGTGAAAGAAACAGAAAAGCGACTAAATCTTCCGCACGTTCATCTCAACATTTCCTTCTACGCATTAGCTCTTATGTCAGCTGAAGGTCGAGAAAACTGAGACACTAAAGGATGCGCAAACTTTCTGATTACCTGCTACCAACTTAACGCAGAGACATCTCTGCTGCTAAGCTCAAAATAATTCCAGAAAGAAGCAAGGCAGTTCTGTGGTACACATTTTCCTTTACTGTGATTGGGGAAAAAAAGAAGAAAAAAAATAAGAAGGAACAGGATGGTGGGGTGCAGTGGGGCGCTGGTTTTGAACAGAACATCTTGATGGGGCTGAGGGGTGGTCATGGTGGTGGGGGGTGGGGGGTATCCCTTGTCAGCTACTTTTGCTTTTCAAAGGGATGCTGAGGATGCCCGTTCCCCCATTCCACTCCAGCGATGCGACTTTCTCTTATGTTAAACACGCTTCAGACCGAACATGTAAACACCCCTGGCGAACACATTCAAATGCTTTAATCATAGAATCGAATCAAATGAATTATAGATGGCCCGTGTGGTGAATTATTCAGCGTTATATACTTTCATCTGACATAAATATTACTTTTTTTTTCCTCTCTCCTCTTTCTCTCTCTGCTTTCCATCATGAATATTTATGCTTTAATGTGAGCATCCATGGCATTTATCCTCCAATAATCAGGTCTTATGTGATTTTCAGAATCAAACTGCATAAGTTACAGGCTCCTTTTTTTTTCCTGTGGGTGGTTAGCTGATGCTTCCATTTATAACTGGTCTTCAGGATTAACTAACCTTTGCCATTCTATATTAACAACATATGCTCAATAATTGTGTCGATAATGTTTGAACAGAATTATAACAATTGAACTGAGTTGATTTGGATACATCTGAGCCATTTGGGGGGAAAAAAATTTTTTTTTGGCCAGTACTATTTCAGAGGCAAACAGAGAGGGAGTGCCTGCTTCTTAAACAGCTTTTGTTTCACCTTTGCAATTATTTATTTTCAAATAGCCCTTCAGGGTAATGTTCCATTTTCTTATTTCACACCCCCTTTTCTCATAAATGAACCGTCATCGCCATAAATCATCGCACAAACAGAGACTTGCACACACTGTGAAAGGTCCAGAGATTTATGTAACACATTCATGTTTCCCACTTCCACATTTTAGTACTACTCCAGCAGAGGCTGGCTAATAATAGCCGCTATTAATATTTCTTGTTGCCTGGCAACCTCGGCAAGTAATAGCTTACTCTGGAAAAATAGATGACCGATAAGGAAAAAAAAGGGGAGGGGGGGGTAAAGGAAGGGCTGGAGTGGGGGGATTCAATTCATTTATTATCTCCTGGGACAAGAGGAGCTTATTTYTGAGGCTCAGGAATAGGAAAGTAGGCTGTATATTGAGAAATATTTTAAAGCAATTGGAGATGACGTTATTTTCATTTTGCTTCCATTAGGGATGTTTCATTTGATGTTTCCCCAGCAAAGTCAATTAACCTTAATTTCATACTGATAAAGGTATAATAAGGAAGATTGAATTTATGTCTGCTGCCTGCTTAAAGAATAATAAAGGGGGATGGAAATAAGCTCTCAGCAAAAACCAGGGTCAGAAACGATGAGGGGGAAAAAAGCTTTCTCCTCTGTTGTATTGTATTGACTAAAGTCAAACAATCAACTCCGAAAATTGGAAGAGATAGCTGAAAAACCAAAACGCTAATCATTCAGCGGTCTTCTTTCGCCGCGGCAGAAAAAAAAAAAAGCATGAAATGAAAAGTCGAGAGTGTTACCTTTAGGATACGCTCCTCTTCAATAAGAGCTATCCTTCAGTGCACGTTTAAAATCTCCTACAAGTACAAGCTCAGCTGGAGCAACAGATACGCTTCATCTCCAGGGATGTTGTTGCTGGTTTTTGTACAACATTTAGCCTAAGGCTAAAGCTCTGTAAACTTCACCCTGCTTTGGGATTCTCTTTTTCAGCATGCATCGATCCCACAGCAAACAGAGTTAAATCATTACAGGACTGAGTGCAGCGGCTTGACCGTCATCATGCTGCATGGCCAGATTATTTTGTCCTCGTTGCTTTGGTTCTTAATTTCTGGTCTTTTGAAAAATGACTAGATAGCAACGTTTAGATTTTTCAATCCCCTGAAAAGCTTTTTTAYGTTTCTTTTGTGTTGTTTAAAGCCAAATATCGTATTCTTTCTGTTGTTGTCTAGAAAGACGAGTGATTATGTAAGTGCTTCTGTGTGTTATTTTGTCTGTAACTCATTTTTACACATATYGAGCTGAAAGCTGGTGTGGTAGTAGCTGAGAGTGAGCCCTAACATTTGATCTGAGTCTTACCAAATCATGCAATCTGAAAACCATGTCATGCAYGGCAGTGAGACACGCCTATAAGAAATGCTATTTTCATTGTTATTGTAATGATAATGCCACAAATGACCAGTGTTGTATAAAGTACCACAAAGGGATACTTGAGTAAAAGTACAAGTAACTTGTGAAAAAAATTACTTTGGTAAAATTTTAAGTCTCCTTTAGGAATATTACTTGAGTAAAGGTCTCAAAGTATCTGATATATTTTGTACTTAAGTATTAATAGTAAAAGTATTGACTTAACGAGCAGTTCGATTTTCTGTAATGACATTTAGTAGGTGATGATCTTCCCAAAAAATGCAGAAATGACAATATAGTATTAAAATGATTAATTTACATTAAATTTAGGATGCACTAGTACAGCTGTTTCAGTTTATATACACATATCAAGGCTGCACAAACATTTTCCCCAAAATGAAAATCTATCTGAGGGCTGCGGCCAAATGCAATAATTCATGAAATACAAATACTTCTTAAGTACAGTCCTTTTATTTTAATGATTATGTCCTGCTGGAGTGTGACGTGATTTGTTTGTGGACAAACTAATACGGTATCAGAAATTTATACATTTATACTTCTCATTCAACCACAATTAAATTCACTCTATCTAGGGGGCACAATTTATATGGATAGTATTTAATTTTTACAATAACAAGCTGGAATGAAAACAAGCAAAAATGAAATAAAAGTAACGACTTTCTACTTCTTGTCTTTTTTAAATGTAAGGAGTAGAAAGTACAGATAATTGTGTGAAAATATAAGAAGTAGAAGTAAAAAGTAGGCTGAAAAATAATTACTTGAGTAAAGTACAGATACCCAAGATTTCTACTTAAGTACAGTAACAAAGTATTTGTACTTAGTTACTTTGGCTTGAAATAAATTAAGAAAGTGCTACGTTGCAGCTTTTTCTTTGCTTTTTTTCCATGTGTAAGGGTTGATTCTCTCTGCTGTAGCTGAATGTTTTTCTCAATCATTTTTTATTGCCAGTTTGAGCATTTCGTGAACTTCAAATTGCAGGAATCCAGCAAGGTGAAGCATCAACACTGGCATTATAGATTATAGAGCTGTCCGTCAGAAATGCTTTTACACTCAGCCAGCTCCTCCCCACACAACTCACTGACTCCGTGAGCCTCTCTGAACTGAGGCAGAAACAGCCAAGGAGGCCTGGATGCTGTGAAATGGAACAGGCTGTCGCTGCCAACGCTCATCGCTGAGGGAGAATTCCCATCTCACCCGCAGCTTTCAGTGTTCCTGTCATCTCGGCACCGGGGCTAAGAGGTGTCACCCAGGGGCCTCGTGTTCAACAAGCCCCCGCTAGTCGTTCAGGTCTGGATGGTGGCACAGCCGGGGGAGTTGTCAGCAAGATCCATCTCTTTGAAAAGATAAATAAATAAATAAAAGGGGAGGGACCCTTGCCAGCAGACAGTAATGAAAAGGTTGAGGCGGCCCCAGCGTGGAACCTTGAGGGGTGTCGGTGTGTTTAAATATTGAAGCGGAGCCACAGTCCCTGTCTCGTTACCAGAATAACGAGTCTGGTTAGGGAGGAGAAAAGCCCCAGCTGCTAAAATAAAAAAATAAAAATTAAATATATATATATATATAAAACCAGCAGCTGACAGTTTTTATAAGGATGTGACATGTATCCACTCAGATGGCTCCTTGTGGGAGTTTTGTCATTAAATATTTGGTGCTGGAATTGTTACATTTGGTAAGGTGATGTTTATCTAACATGTCATTAACAAGATGTTTCTATCTTGTGGCTGTGTTTAAAGGAGATATACCATACCTTTAAATCCTTCTTTATCACATTTAAATCATTGAGTTGGGGTATATATAAAGTGGAACTGCGGTGCTTTGGTCTGAATTCCTTCTTATAACTCCAAAAGCCCCTTTTTCACCTCTTTTCTGAGGAGTGTCTCAGATCAACTCGTTTTGAGGCTGTTTCTTTAAATCCAAACAAGGCTCTTCACAACCCGCCCACCTCTAACTTCCAGACTGGTCTATTCTAGTTTGATAGAGGGGTTTACGGCTATATAGCAGCACAGTAACTTCTTTATTTACAAATCGAATAAAAGATGTCAWCAAGGGAAGACTTCTCCATCCAGCCTTGTTAGAACCAGAGTCTGATCCAGAGCCAGWGGAGAATGAAGATGATGATTGTAGTTGGTAAGTCCAGACCTTATTTGGCAGTTCTGTCATAAATAATTTGATGTAATAGTTCAGAAAACATCATAGAAAACATAAAAAAAGTGAAAACAAGTGTATGAGTAGAAAAACATGATCCAAAAATAAGATAAAGACATCTATGCAGCACCAGGAGAGATTAAATTCAAAAATGTATTTAATGGCTAAAAAAGTTGATTTTGCATAAAAGGCAAATTCTGCCATAKGCAGAAAAGCTGCAGAACGGACTAGCTTACTCGTGACATTTAAAAATCCTGCAGCAACGCCACT